ACTGGGCAAAGTGCCTTCCTTCATGGGAGACCAGCATGGATGGGCACTTCGCACATCCTGTCCTGATGCCTAGGTTGTACAGTGTCAGCCCTTGGCGCTCATGGGTGTCCCACGGTGGCCCCACTTTGCGTACGAGACCAGGTCCACTGAGAGGGCAAGATACACACTCCTGAGTGGCAGAACCAAGTGCGGAGCCCAAGAGTCACCGACGCTGAACTGCTTACACGTCCCCGTGCTGGGAGATGGTAGAGTCTCTTATGTGGGTCAGACCAGAGACCCCAGGGGCTGGGCTTGTCCTCAGTGTAGTCAGCCTGGGGGTCCGAGAAACTCCTGGACACTCATGGGAGGACAGTGCCACTGCTCAGCAGAGCAGGGCCCACACTCGTGTGGGAGAGCATGGTGGGCAGAGAAGGGCTGTCCAGCTGGTGCCGGTGGGAGTTGTCACCCTGCCAGGCCTCCTCATCCTGCTGAACATGAGGAGCCGAGGGTGGGGTGTGTGCCTAGGTGTGTGTTGGCCTGGCATCTGGAGGAAGATGGGTGCGTCCTGAGGCTGAGGGAGGGTGGCCTTGGGTGCACGGTGGCAGAGATCCCACTAAGCCTCCCCACTTACAGGTTAGCCAGAGCAGCCTCACCATGCTGTCCTCACCGTCGCCGGGCCAGCAGGTGCAGACTCCGCAGTCGATGCCCCCTCCCCCGCAACCATCCCCACAGCCTGGCCAGCCCAGCTCACAGCCCAACTCCAATGTCAGGTGGGTTGGGCGGGGTGTGGGACCGCTACCTTGCCCAGGCCATGAGGCATGCTGGGCATCATGGCTCACATGTGCTTCGTCTGCCTTGCAGCTCCGGCCCAGCACCGTCCCCCAGCAGCTTCCTGCCCAGCCCCTCCCCGCAGCCCTCCCAGAGCCCAGTGACAGCTCGCACCCCACAGAACTTCAGTGTCCCCTCGCCTGGCCCTCTAAACACCCCTGGTAAGTTGGCTCAGGGCGTCCTGGGCACGGCGCGGCCCTGCCCTCAAGGGCTACAAGTCTCCCTTCCGTTGGCAAGGCCTTCCCTTGTCCCAGGTGTGAAGGCTCTGCAACCCACAGAGCACCAGCACCCCCTCCATGACACACCCTGCTGCCTGGGTCCTGGGAGAGCCAGCCATGTGACCGGGGCCCCTATCCCCCATTGTGTGCCCCTCAGTGAACCCCAGCTCAGTGATGAGCCCCGCAGGCTCCAGCCAGGCTGAGGAGCAGCAGTACCTGGACAAACTGAAGCAGCTGTCCAAGTACATCGAGCCCCTGCGCCGCATGATCAACAAGATCGACAAGAATGAAGGTGGGGCTGGTGTGCAGGGGGCGGTGCGGTGCCGGGCCTGCGCGCTCCTGGGCCTGTGCCTGAGACGCCGCTCTGTGTCTCAGATAGGAAAAAAGATCTGAGTAAGATGAAGAGCCTGCTCGACATCCTGACCGACCCCTCTAAACGGTGAGCTCTGCCCCAGGACTCCGGGGCCCTTACGAGGTGGCCACCTGGTGAGCCCTGGGGCCTGTGGCCCAGCTTCCCCTCGGGCCTTCCCCGGGCTGCCGCCATGGCATGGGGCCTCCACCCTGCAGCCGTCACAGCTGGCCTCACAGGCTGCGGTCCAGTCCCAGTCCATGGTCTCGCCTGCAGCTGGCCACGCTGGGCTAAAGCATGCTTGGGAGAAGCCTGTGGCGACCAGCGGTCTCCACTCCTGCCCTTTAGAACCTGTTAGGTCTTCTGTTGGGTGACAGGGCCCAGGGACCCTGCGGACAGCAGCGTTGAGGCCGAGGCCTTGCTGCCTGGCCACTTGGAGTGGGCGGCCCCTGGAGACAGAGACCCCTGCACCTTAGACCCTTGTCAGAGCAGCTGCTCAGCTTGCCAGAATGCCTGCTGAGGTTCCTATGGTCAAGGCCCAGGGAACAATGGCCCCTTGCCCTTGTCCCCACAGCTGCCCCCTGAAGACCCTGCAGAAGTGTGAGATTGCCTTGGAGAAGCTCAAGAATGACATGGCAGTGGTGAGTGCCCAGCTGGGAGGGTCTTCCTGCTCAGGGCAAGTGGGCCTTCTGGAGACCCTACCCCCAAGGTGTTTGCTGAGGAGGGTGGGGCCACGGGCCAGTCGCTCCACCCTGTGAGGCCCAGCCCAGAGCACACACCTTGGAGGTGAAGGTCTGGTGGGTGGGAATTTGCTGCCATTGTCCACCTAAGGGTGGAACTGAATGAGGGCAAGACCTCTGAGACTGGACAGGGCTGTGAGTGCACACTGCTGATCCTGCCTGTCCTGTCCCCAGCCCACACCTCCTCCACCTCCAGTGCCACCGACCAAGCAGCAGTATTTGTGCCAACCACTCCTGGATGCCGTCCTGGCCAACATCCGCTCGCCCGTCTTCAACCATTCCCTGTACCGCACATTTGTGCCGGCCATGACTGCCATCCATGGTCCACCCATCACGTACGCACGGCCTATGCTGGGCTCCTGGGGGTGGGGATGGGGTAGGAGGCGGCAGCGGGCCAGGGACCGGGTGTATGGTCACATGGTCACCACAGACTGTGGGCCTCCTACAGGGCGCCGGTGGTGTGTGCCCGGAAGCGCAAGTTTGAGGAGGACGAGCGGCAGAGCATCCCCAATGTGCTCCAAGGGGAAGTGGCCAGATTAGACCCCAAGTTCCTGGTGAACTTGGACCCTTCTCACTGCAGCAACAACGGCACCGTCCATCTGATATGCAAGCTAGGTGAGTGGCAAGGAGGAGGGGCTGGCCAGAGTGAGTACATGCCAGTGGGTAGCATACAGGTGCCCCTTCCACAAGCCCACCTGTACACGCCACTTCGGCACAGTGGCCTAGCCATGCTTCAGCAGGACCTCTCAGAGCTTGAAGTCCCCAAGGAGGGCAGGCTGAAGGACAGGCGGGGTGCATCTGGGTCCCAAGGGCAGCTCATGTGTTACAGATGACAAGGACCTTCCAAGCGTGCCGCCGCTGGAGCTGAGCGTGCCCGCTGACTACCCCGCCCAGAGTCCACTGTGGGTTGACCGGCAGTGGCAGTATGGTGAGTGAGTCCCTTCCTGCCAGCGTTGTTAGTCGCCCCAGGGAGAAGGGCCTGTGACTTGGGGTGCCCCTCTCTGTGTCTTTGTGCCATGGGCTGGGGTTCAGCCCATAGCTCCAGAACGACCTGTGGGGCCAAGGCAGAAAGCACCACCAGGAGCCACCAGGAGCTCGGCTTCCCAGGGCGGGGGCTGGGTGAGGCGGCTCTCGCAGAGGCCCTGCTGGTGGGCCTTGGGTTCCCTGAGGCTGAGCTTTGGCAGGGTCAGGACTGTGTCCTTGGGAGTGCCACAGCGGGGGCGGGTCTAGGGCTTGCTCTCCTGTCCCTGCCATCTCTTGTCTGAGGCTCTGGGAGGAAAACCTGGCTGCCAGCGAGTGTGGGTGATGATTTGGGTACGGGGCTGGTGGCCTGGGTTTGGTGGGGGCGCGGTGTCCTCACGGCCTCTGCTCTGTTGCAGATGCCAACCCGTTCCTACAGTCGGTGCACCGGTTCATGACCTCGCGGCTGCTGCAGCTCCCTGACAAGCATTCAGTCACAGCCCTGCTCAATACCTGGGCCCAGAGCATCCACCAGGCCTGCCTGTCGGCCACCTAGCTGCGGGCTGTGCACGGGCCTCCCGTTGGACCTTGGGGGCGGCAGCTCCCATAGGGGCCCAGGGTTAGGTTAGCTTTCCTGCTTTTATCTTCTGCCTTGGGGACTTTCTACACATTTCCCCATGTTGTACCATCCCGGGGTGGGTGGCTAGGAGCTGGCCGTCTGCTCAGAGAATGTTCTCCACAGCTCCCGTCCACTCAGCAAGGTGGGGACAGTTTAGACCTCATGGAGGTCCTGCAGGGACCCTTGGCAGCCCTTGGCACTGTCATCACAGTGTTGAGGCACGTGGGGCTCAGCACAGGGCTGGCAGCCGGGGGTCTTGGAGAAGCCTGCCCTGCACCCTGTGCCCCTCTTGGGGGAGGGTGCTATGTCCTCAGCCACACTGAAGGGTGACCAGCTTAACGCTGTCCTCAGGCCATGGTGTCGCCAGAGCACTGTGTACTCTGGCCACGCAGGAGTGTGTGCAGGCTCCCAGCCGGGACATGGCCAGACAGCCACCCGAGGTGCCGGCCACGCTGGGTGGCGGCCGGCAGCCCCTGGTGGTGAGACACATTTTTATATGTGCACTATCCTGTCATGTGGTTCTCATAATAAATTTATTATTCCTGTGTTCGTCGGGAGTTTGTCACGTGCCCCCCTCGGGGTGCCCCCGGATGCTGTTGCCCTAGAAGTGTGCAGCGTGGCCCTGGCCGCCTCTGACCTTTGCTCCCTTCACGTGATGAAGCATCCTGCCCCACATGGTGGTTCATCTCCAGGTTCCTGGCCAAATTGCTGCCGGGGTTGGGAAGTGGGGTGGGGGGTAGGGGTGCACGCTAGGCTGCACAGCCTGAACAAAGTAATGTTCCCAGCAGCATGGTCACGGTGATGGGCGTTGTGCACCTGGGTGTTGCTGTGCATGGCTGGGGCTTCCTGTGAAAGTGCCTCTCAGCAATGTGGCCTTCAGGGAGGGAGGTGACGGCCCAGTAGACACCTGTCAGCAGCTTGCCTGAGTGTACAGGCTAGACCAGAATGGCTCTGGGCATGGAGGGCAGCCACCAGCCCGGGCCCCAGGAGGCTACCCGGCCCTCACAAAGGGCTTGGGCACTTGGCGGGGGCGCTGAATGGGTAGCTAGCTTCGGGATAGTTGGCGGGGAGAGACGCCCAACAGCTGGGGAGATGCCCAGCAGCATTGGAGAAAGCAGCGTTGCCCAGCTGTCACAGGTAGGCTAGCCCTGAGCTGCACACATTTGCTCTGGCGTGAGGGCAGAGCCACTGGTGAGCCACGAGAAAGTTAGGAGGTCTCCAGGTCTAAGATTAAGATTATTTTACTCTGGCTGAGTTTGATCCTGGCATTTAGTGTTGCTTTAAAGTATTACAATTCCTTGACAGGGCTATGGAGTGGGGCTGGCTTGGGGCTGCAGGCAGGTGGTCCTGGCTCAGAGCACTGAGCGGTGCAGGCGCCGGTTCTGTACCACCTGCAGCCTCTTCTGCCGCTCCGCAAAGTTGCTCTTCAGGGTCTGCTTCAGTGCAGGCAGGATGGAGCACTCGGCCACTGGCATGGGGCTCAGGATGAGACTGGGCAGCAAGAGGGGCCGTCAGCGCCGCGGGCGCCCTCCACCCAATAGCAGGGCGCCCTCAGGGGCGGCAGGCAGCAGGTGAGACTCACCATTTCTTAGCCACGCCCTTGGAGGTGGACAGCTTGGGGAGCTGTGAGGCCTCCTGCTCTCTGGGAGGGAGTCGGGGGGTGGGGAGAGAGGTCAGCGTGCATTGGGGTGATAGCCAGGCCCTTCTGAGCTAGGGCAGGGCACATCGGGCACTCACTTTGGGGAGCTAGGAATGGCCTCCTCTGTGACAGCCTTGGGCCTCTGGGTCCCTTCCAGGAGGGACTTGAGGTGCTGCAGCTGAAAGGCAGGGGAGAGGCAGGCATGGTGGGACCCGTGGGGTGCTACCCCCCACCCCCCAGGGCCTCACCTCTTGAGCTTGCAGGAGGTTGGCATTCCACAGCTGCCGGATGACCACCTCACACTGCTGCACCGTGGTGGCCTTCCGCAGGTGCGGGGGCAGGCTTGCCAGGGGCGCCATGCCCACAGCTGGCTTGCCTCTGTGCTGCCCGCCCCCCAGCCCTGTGGCTGCTGCTGTGCCAGTCTCAGCATCTTCATCTCTGCAATGGGAAGTGCGTGCTGCAGCTGCCCACCCACCGCCCCTCCCCTGAGGCCAGCTGTGACCTAAGCCCGTCCCTTCTTTCCCCACAGGTCACTGGGGGTCACAGGTAAGATTCTAAGGTGTGACTGGCAAGCTGCCAGGCTGGGGGCTGGGGGGAAAGAGGCCTGCATGTGCCTCCACCCCGTGTGTGTGTGCTCCACAGGGTCCCAAGGACTTCCCAGAAAATGGTCCTGCCCTTGCTGCCAGCCGAGGAAGTGCATCTGCTGTTGGCTTGGTAAAATGCAGGTTCATTTGAATACCAGCTTTCTGTGAGAGTGGTTTAGGGGCTGCCTCAGCTCAGCACACAGCAACCCTTCTACAACCTGCAGCCTCCAAGGACATGAGTAGTCAGAGGGAACCTGTCCTATGTCCGTGAGACTGGCTCACTCGCATTACAACAGGCACGTGGACAAGGGGGCAGAGCCCAGTCAGTGTGGCCCAGCCACTGGGTGCAGGAAGCCCTACCTGGTCTGTGCCCCAGAGCCTCGTTCCAGCTTGTCATTGTGAACCTTGGTGGCACCCAGGGGCTCCTCGTCCAGGTCCATTTTTGAATAGGGGTCGGCTTTCAAGTCTTGCTTCTTAAAGGAGCCATGCTGGGATCTGACCTTGCCTTGGGAACCAACTGTAGGTGAGACCCAACAGGGCTAGTCAGTGCAGGCCACAAAGAGACCCCACTCCTGCCTGTAGAACCCTCTGTCCCCATGCCCAGCAAATGTGCTACAAGGAACGCCAGGCATTGTGGGTGGAGTGAGGCAAGGAGAGCTTGTGACCAACGACAAAGCCTGCTGTTTGCCCAGGGGACAGGGCCCCAGCCGGTGTCCATCCTGTGCCTGGAAAAGACCCTACGTGGTGGATCAGTCGCTCCTCTGGCCCGTAGCCCACCTGCTCACCGTTCCACCCCACCTGAGCCACCTGGTGGCTTTACCTGTCTTGGCTGCCTTTAGCTTGCCCACGGAGGCCCACTCTGGAATTCCTGCTGTGGCCGGCTCACCTGACACAGTTGAGTTGGAGGGAGACTTGTTGGACTGAAAACTCAACGTGGAGATGCTACCTATGGGAGAACAAGGCTCAGCCTGAGTCCACCTGGCCTGGGTGCCGGGGACACTGAACAGTCTCCCGGAGCGGCCCCAAGCCTCCCCCCACTGGGTTGTGCTGCAGGGGGCTGGCACAGCCCTGGGCGTGAGCAGTGTAGACAGCCAAGGGCCTGACCTCACCTTTCTTGGGTGGCTTCTGATTCATAATGAGTTTATAGTGGAGATCTGGAAGCAAACATAGACTCTGTTGGTCACTTTTGAAAGTCACAGCCACTGGAGAACCACCTGGCTTGCCCTGACCCTTTGCTCCTCACCCCATCCCGACCCCAGGCCTCATGGACCGCGTCTGATCTAAGGGGCTGCGGAGGGGGAGCGAGCCAGCTTAGTGAGCTAGTGAGTGCCCAGCAACGGAGCGACACCCGGGAGGAGACACAGGCCTCGGGGACCCGGGGAGGACCCCTGCCCTGGCCTCACCCTTGTTCTCGCGCTTCAGGTGCTCGATCTCCTCATGGAGCTTGACCAGCGTCTCCGAGTGCTGCTGCTGCAGGAATTGCAGGCTCTTCTCCAGGTCCAGGACGCGCTTCTGCGCCTCGTTCAGGCCGGCCTGCGCGCCCTGCGGCCCCACCGCCTGCAGAGCCGCCGGTGGCCGCGGGCGCACCCGCGACAGGCCCCGGGAGCCCGGGTTGGCCCAACTCGGGGGCCGCGCCCCAGCTGCCATCCCCACCCCGCTCATGTCGCTGCCGCGGCCACTGCTGCGCGCCACCAGCTCACTGACCCGGCCTGACTCCGCGTCGCCATGGGGACGCCGCGCCCCGCCGAGGGGTGTGTCGGGAGGGGCGGGGCTTGCGGCCGCGTTCTGCCGGGTGGGGAATGGCGGGAAAGACGGGGTTCACCCACTGCCTGCCATCTCCCCCTTAACTTGGCGCAGTACCTGCCTGAGGTTCAAGTCCGAGCCCCGCTGCCGACTGAGTCCATCCAGCTCTCCGGAAGGCAGAAGGGATGGTTCCAGTGTGTGGGTTTCTGCCCAGCACAGGCCAGGTGGGTGATGCGAGGCCCGTTCCCACGAGTTCAACGTGTGAATGCTTACAGTTCTTGTTCCATTGCTATTTTTTTTTAATTTATTTTTATTAGAAAGGCGGATATACAGAGAGGAGGAGAGACAGAGAGGAAGATCTTCCGTCCGATGGTTCACTCCCCAAGTGAGCACAATGGCCGGAGCTGAGCCAATCTGAAGCCAGGAGCTCTTCAGGGTCTCCCAGGCAGGTGCAGGGTCCCAAGGCCTTGGGCTGTCCTCGACTGCTTTCCCAGGCCACAAGCAGGGAGCTGGATGGGAAGTGGAGCTGCCGGGGTTAGAACTGGCACCCATATGGGATCCCAGCGCGTGCAAGGTGAGGACCTTAAATCACTGTCATCACACCAGGCCCCCATTGCTATTCTTAACAGGGACTGATTTTTAAAAATTATATTTGAAATATTAACATAAGAGAGGCCTTTTATACACTGGTTGAATACCCAGGAGGCTTCAAAGGAGCTATAGCCAAACTCAAACCCAGTCACTGGTACAGGATATAGGCCCAGCCAGTAACTCCCTACCCCTCTGTTGGTCGTGTTATGGCCACTCACTGGGGTGGCAAGCTCTAACCCTTTTTTGTGGCGTGTGTATCCCTCAGTGCGAACCTCCTCCCCTCATGCGGAGTTGAGCTGCATCTACGTGTGCACACAGCAGGGTGTCCAAACTGCCCTCTGGCTAGATGATTCAGGAACATGGGAGCTGGAAGAACAGCTGTCCTAGGACTGAGGGCAGAATGGACTTACACTTGTCCAGGCCTCTCTGGAGCTGAAACGGCAGCCAGGGACCGCCTGTAGTCAGGGCCAGGTAAGGAAAGCTCCAGAAACAGGATGTCACATGAAGGCACACTTTATGGGGAGTATGCTGTGGGGCCCCTGCCTGTGACGCGGGCATCCTGGGTCTGATTGGAGTCCCAGCTGCTCCACCTTCGAGCCAGCTCCCTGCTTGTAGCCTGGGCGAGCAGCAGATGGCCCAGGTTCTCAGACCTGGAGCAAGCTCCTGGCTTTGGATCAGCTCAGCTCTAGCTGTTGTGGCCATTTGAAAGATGAACTGGTAGATCGCTCCGTAAGTCTGCCTTTCCAATAAAAGTAAATAAATCTTAAAAACCAGTCACCAGGGCTAGGCATCCTGGGAGACTTTAGGTTGGTCACCCTCCCGCCTGCCCACTCGGGTATCTGGCATGACGGGTTCTATGTTGACATCAAGCCTTATTTCCCCTCCCAAACTTGGACGTGCTGGGAGGACGTGCTGAATATTCCTCAGAGCTGCCTTAGGTTGTTGGGTCTGGCCACCATTCACCCAACTTAAAGTCTGTGCAACCCATGCTTCTCATGAGCCCAAGATCAGGCTGGAGGGGTGCCCAGGGAGCCCCATGTGAGCACACCTGCGGAAGACCCAGTGGCAATGATGAGTTTTATTCGGATCCATGGTTGATGACAAGTCAGCTGGGTTTTGGTCCCTGGTCCCAAATGCTGTTATTGTATCAGAGCACAGCACCCAGCCCTGTCCTTGGAAACGCCGAAGGAACCCCACACATCAGTACGGACAGCTTGGCCTAAAGACTCCACTTGACTGTCTTCAAGGGCATGTCCCCTGCAGGAGCAGCAAGGGCGAGGCCCACGCTGGCTGCCCACACAAACAGGGCTCCTGGACATCTCTGCTTGTAGAGAAGCTGGCAGCACCGGCTAGAGCAGCACCCATCTGTCCTCTCCTTGGAAATGGGGTTTGTGGCCCACCTTGGGACAGCCCGCAGGATTCTGGAGCCCAAGGAGAGCTGCCCCTCTGGGACGCCAACTGAGCTTGTCTTTCTCACAAGGAGAAAACCAGCGTAGCCTGCTGGGTCACCTTACAGATGGGCACAACGGACCCTGAGCTTCACACTCGGCCTAAAGTGCTCACTAAAAACAAGGCCCCCCAAGAGCTTGTGCCACTGCAGTCCCGGGGAGGGCTGCTGGGGGGCACTCTCTCCTCTGTCTGTCCCCTGGTAGGACCACAGCCCTTACATGGCCAACTGTACCCCGGGTCTGACTGGAAAGTGACCGTGGCCATCAGGGCTGGTGCAGCTTGCCCCGCTCAGTCAGCAGCGTCATGGCCACCGCGTAGAAGAGGTAGCCCAGGACGAGGATCAGGGTGCAGGGCAGAGGCCCGATGGAGAACAGCAAGGCCACCAGATAGACCAGCAGGAGAGTGAGCAGTGTCCGCCAGCTGCCCAGGAAGCGCAGACTCAGCCTCGGGCCCCGGACCTGGCTGGCTGCCTGCCTCGGCCCCACAGGACTCAGCAGGTGCCTGTCCGCCTGCGCGGGCTCTGTGAGGTGGTAGCGGCAGAAGCTGCCGAGGAAGTCATCCCGGGAACAAAGTGCTGCCATCTGACCTGCAAACTGCAGCACGAAACAAGTGAGCTCTGCAGGCCCCGGCCTCACGACAGCCCAGTGGCTACCCCGCCCTGGGCCTCAGGACCCACTGCGGGCAGAGAGGAGGCAGCCCTGCCACCCACCCCACTTACCCTCTGGTTGATGGTGGACGACAGGCGAAAGAGCGCGCGGACCAGGCCTGCGATCTCATAGCTCCGGATGGGCTGCAGCTCTGAGTCGCCCTGGTACTCGATCTCAAACCTCCGCAGCCCGTTGATGATCTAGGAACCCAAGGGTGAGGGCAGGCAAACAGGGGCAGGGTGAGGGCGTAGCAGGGGGTCAGGGAGGAGCTGGGGCCTGGGAACACAGCCTCCTACCTGGTAGCGGCCCAGGGATGTGAGGATGAGTCCGTTCTCCCCAACTATACAGTCCGGGAGCTGCTTCTTCCCGTTCTCATCCTGCGCGGTGCCCAGGGCCAATGTGAGCTGGGCCAGCTGGGCCTCACTGAGCTGTCAGAGAGAGAACAGGGGTGAGGGGAAGGCCTGGGCCTCACTGAGCTATTAGAGTGTAGGGGTGAGAGCAGGGCCCGATGTGCAGTGACTTAACACCCCGGGGGTGTGGCCCACGGCTTGTACCCGGAATATCTGGCGCAGGTAGTCCAGGGCCTTCTCGAGGTACTCATCCGTCTTGCGAACACTGTCCTGCCCCGTCTCGTCCGGGTCGTTGGCTGGGTAGCAGCCGTTTGTGTCTGCTGGGTAGAAGCTGAGCCACGACAAGAAGGAGCGGCTACCTGAGCTCTCCACGCACTGGTCAGAGATGGACTTGGCCGTCTGCTTGGCCTGCGTGATGAGCTGAGCAAGGCGCAAGACCTGTAGGGGACATGGATGGCTTAGCGGGCCAGCGGTGGGGCACGAGGCCCTGTCCCTTGTTCCCAGTGGGGGTGACGCCTCCCTCCACTCACCAGAGTCCGGACTTCAGGCCCAAACATCGGGGTGTACTTGCAGTCCTGGCCCTCCAAGCTGTAGACATGGCTCTTCACCTTGAAGGAGGCGTCGGTGACAGCTGGTGGCCATGGTGACAGGAAGCTGCCCGTGAAGGTGGGAGCAGAGAAGAGTCGGTGCTGGCGATGGGGGATGACGAGCTCCGGCTCCAGGAACAGCTGCTCACCTGGGGAGGCAGCGATGGCACCCCAACACCTTCACCTCAAGTCAGGCCAGGAGACACCCACCCTCCAGGGACAGATGGTTGGGACTACCAAGATGTCTCCTGACGCCCCCACCAGTCAGCAGCAGAGCGCCCCACCGCCCTGGGTAAACAGGGACCTTCATGACCCCAGGCCAACTGCGACAACCCGGCTGTGTACTCACCTTTCTGGATCATTTCGGCCAGGTTGGGCTGGGCGAAGACTTTGGCCACTCTGAACACCATGAGCGCGTTCTTGGGGCTGACCAGGTCTGTGCGGAGGGCGCGGTTCAGGAAGCCCACAAATAGCTTGGTGTACAGCAGCAGGTTCTCCTGTACGAAGGGTGCCCTGCGTGAGGGTGGCGGAGGGGCAGATCAGGGCACGGCCAGGGCACCCCCAGGCCCCAGCTCGTCCCGACTCTCCCTGGCTGAGGCTCTGAGGTGTCAGCAGTGACAGCTCAGGGAGACCACAGACAAGAGCAGGACTGACGCGGGAGTGAGCAGGTTCTTGGCCTGATGGGGTGCAAGAACAGCTGTGAGGACAGAGGTGAAGACAAGCAGGTGCCAGGGAGGATGACGGATGGAGAAGGGACTCGGGGTGACACGAGCCAGGAGGACAGTCACAGCACAGGGGCGGGGCAGGGACCACCCCAGCCCCCAGCTCGGTGCCCGCACCCCTTGGCATGCACTGTAGCCAGCGGAGCTGTGGGGAGGAGCGGGTGTCGGGCAGGGCTCACCATTTCTCTGACACGCTGCGGGGCTGGGAGTCGCTGCTTGGAGCCTGCTTCTCGGGCGCGTACCTCCATGGCTGCAGGTAGCTCAGCCACATCTCCAGCACCTGCCAAGGGACACGTGTGCCCTGAGCAGCCAAAGAAGAGGGGCCGCAGAGCCTGGCACACTGCGGAGGGAGGGTCTGGCTACCCTTCCCCCCGACTTCAGGAAGGCCCATGGCTCTCCTCCGCCTACACCACAGGGCACTTGTCCATCCCCAGGGCCTTTAACCCTCACGCGCATGCTTCAGGGCCCAGGACTGCAGCCTAGTGAGGTGAGGCCCTGGTCCCCGACCGCTGCATCCCAGCAGCTTCCTCGGGAAGAGTGAGGAGCTGAGTACTCACGGCTCGGAAGGAGGCG